GGGGGGGGGGGTGGGACCCCCCGCCACTGCTTGCACCCTGGGTGGGCGGGGGGGGTGCCCCCAGATCTGCACAGCACGGGGGGGTGGTGCTGCAGCTGCAGGGTGGAGCTGATGCCGCACAGGGCTTTTCTTGCCAGGTGCTAGGAAGAGGCTGCAGCCATCCCAAATTTTGCTGTAGCTCCGCTCCCAGCCCCATACCATTGCCTGGCACAGCCCCGGCTGAAAGAACCACCTCCAACCAAGCGCTCGGAAAAGCCAGGGCGGCGGCACAAGGCTGGGAGCAGAGCTGCAGCAAAATTCCTGGGGTGCAAGCAGCAGTGGGAGCTACCCCCACCCCACAAGCCACAAAGTCTTGGTCTAGATCTAAGTTCTTTTGCTGCAAGGAGTTCTGACCCACAGCCCCCACAAAGCTGCCAGAGCACAAAGTGCATTCTGGGACCACTGCTGAGTAACATGTTTACACACACCTGCAGCCAGAAGGCTTATCGCACTGAAGAAGTGTTCAGCTGGCCAAACTGGTAGTAGGAACTAGGTTTAACTGATCATTTCAGACTTCTTCAAAACCTTTTTTCCAAACTACCAACTCAGAGGGACAGCATTGCATTTACACTCCCTTACTTTAGGGGATCTTCCCATTCATCAGTGCTAGAAACAATTTTTAATTGTAAACAGATAACAAAAAACAGAATAACTGCATCTATCTTCCAACCTGTCCTCTTCCACTCACACTCTCCTTATCTCACTAGCATTTCCTAGATACCTCAGGGCAGGGCAACTAATGTAGTTTCACTACATAAAGCTTAACACAGGGGTGTACAATGTATATGGAGAGTAGGAGAAGGGGCCATATTTCTTGCTGTAAAACTGATTCTTGCTGTTAACTGATTTTCAAAGGATATTAGTTTTTCAATTCCATCAACATGCTGAAAATATATATTACACAGGGTTAAGCATAAACTTTTAAACAACAGTATGACAAGCATAAAACCAGAAAAAAGTAGTAACTTAGCATTCCTGAATCTGAATTTTGTGTTACCAAATACTTCATACTAATTTCTGGAGGAAGAAATTGTCCATTGGGAATTTCCTTTGTCTCTTGCTATCAATGATATTTAATCTGATTTTAGGAGCTTGTCTCAATTATAAGGCAGTTTTAATGAAAGAAAGCACACCGTTCAGTATTCCCTTTAGAGGTCATTTGGTGCAAATTAAAACATCAAGAAAAATTAAACCTAGTGACATTAAAGTACATTAATGGGCACTTGTTGATTAGCAAGGTGTGTTAAATGCATTTTAGGGTTTCCCCACCTCCAGTTTTAGCCTCGAGTACAAACTTATATTCACTTGCATTACTTAAGATTCATCGATTTCTGAAACAACTTCTGTTTGCATGCGAGTAGTATAGTGCAGGGGTTCTCAAGCCCTGGGCCACAGTCCAGTGCTGGGCTGCAGAAGGTTGGCTGCACGGCCGCAGCAGTCATCTGCTGGACCAAAGTGGCCATGGACTGGCAAACTGTGGCCTCCCCACCAGAGCCAGGCGTAGAGGCCATGGCTCCAACTGTAGGGCCTGCAGCAACGCAGGGTTTGGTGCACCCCCCCCGCCTGGGGGGTGGGGGGTATCCTTACCTGTCTGCTGGCTGTGGTTGGCTGTGACTGCTGGGCCACAGTTTGCCAGGCCGCAGCATAAAAACTTTGGGAACCTCTGGTATAGTGTACTGTATGGCCCTCCCTATCCTCCCCCTCCAAATTCAGTCTAAAACAGTGTCAATAACGCTGAAACAAACCTGATCCACAATACAAGTCTGATGTAGACATGTGCATTAAATTCCTAAATCAGAAAGGAATAATCCTACATGCTTTGTAGTTGTTGCCCATTGTGGGAAAGTGTAATGTGTGGAAAGCATGCGCAATAATTTTTACGTACAAAATTATTACCATCCACTCACTCACACCCTTGCATGTAGTCCAACAAAGTTAATGAGACTATGCAAGGTACTTTGTGTCATTAGGCTCACAGTATTTCTCTTAAGTGAAAAAAAAGCCTTTGCATCATTCAAGCATTCTGTTTTAGTCATTAAACCCATCTCATTTAGTTTTAATCTTGTTCTAACTACAGTTGTACACAAAGAACTTAATCATACATCTAATTATCAGTATGTAATTGCATTTGGAAATTACATATCTCTAAGATTGAAAGCCTATATGGTAATTTTTTGTTAAAGGAAAAGCCGCCGGCACTTTAACAATCAGGATACTGCATATTTAGCCTTAGATGCATTTCACCTCTGAAAAGTGATTATATAACACTCTCTCTCCTACCACAGGGACTTGCTTCTCTTCCGTAACTACTATTGTCCTTTTTAAAATTCTAGATAGCCCTGTTCAGTCAAAATAGCTCGTAAGAGATCAAACAGTTAACTAAAGAGGAAAATCCAGTTATAGTTTCATCACAGAAATAACAAAAAGGAGAAGCCAGCCTACAGATTTTTTTTTTGGTCTGTAGAATGTTAAATGGAACTTTGCAGGGATGATAATTATAAAGTCAATGAGTCTGGATGTTAAGTGAGCAAATTTGTCCTGGCAGTCAGAGACAAAGAATAAATTTCCAGATTCCGTTTTTCAGAATGGATCTGAACTTTATAAGCTACAATAAATGAAAAAGTAAAGCATGTTGATGAACACACTTAGAATTTTTTCTGTATTGTACATAAGCAACAAAACAACTAAGTTCCTGAATAAGTTGAGGAATGAAGAGCTTGCTTCTCGTTATTTTAATAAAAATACAGTGCTCAGTTACACTTCTAAACAACAAAACAAAAGTATACATACATCAGAATGAACACTTCTTTTTTTTTCCCTAGGTAATTATGTAAAGGTTTTCAAAAATAGTTTGTCACTTTACATCATTATTGAAATGCATATCCTCTTCAAAGGAAGAAATGTCAGACAACAAATACAGAAAAGAAGAATACTGCGGAGACCACAGTGAACAAGCTTAGCTACTATGAAAGAGCATGGGCCTTGGGTTCAAATCTCCATTAAGATCTCCCCTTCTCCACAAAAAAGCATATTTATATATTAATGGCATATACAATACAGAAAATCTAAAAGCATATTTTGTTCTTAATATTGCCCCTCTTTAAAGGACTCTGATAACTCTTGATTGGCAGCATCATATTCAGCAATGAAATGTTTTAGTTCTTCAATGCATCGCTCACCTATCTCATGCAAATTCTGTCTGAGAGCAAACTGAATAGACTTTTCTAATGAAGGATCCTTATCAATCAGCATCTTCACCACCATACCAAAGGTTTCACAATCTTGTCTGTAAACCTAAAAGCAATAAATATTAGAAGCAAATTAAAATGCAAGAATATTTACACAATAAGTCACAATATTCCCTCCTCTCACCAAGTTAAAGAACTATGACAATAACAAAATCAAATGGATAATGGAGTCAACATGAATTTTGCATGTTAGACCGTCTTACAATTTTTTTATATCCCAGGCCTGCTCTAGATGTAACAAAGTCAAATGTAGTTAGTGCAGCACTACTTTGAAACAAGAAATAATTCTCATTAGAGGAAATAAAAATTAAATATGGCAATGAATTTCTCTTGTAATGTAGTAACAACTAAAGTGTAATAAAGTAGCAGAGCAGAGAGAAAGAGTAAATTTAAACATACTTTACACTTTTGTTTGCAACAAAATTTGGGTTTTACCTTTTCAAGCATCTGATTAATCTTTAAAGTAGCAATTAGTTAATTTACCTTTTGATAAGACTTGAAGGTGTATTGCACTATTTCACCAAAAATATTTCATGTTTCTTGGCAATTTCAAAATCAACTATTAGGGCAAACTGGATACATTTCTCATAGAGAGGCTTCAATGAATATTGAAATATTATATATGTTTGATGGTACTGGTGATTCAGCCATGAATAGAAAATGCCTCTGTTAGAGAGACCTCAATGTAAAAGTGATAGCAAGACTAACACCGGTGGTTACAAAGTAAGGCCTAGCATATACTACAAAGCTTTGCTGGCAGAACTAAAATTCTGTTGGCAAGGCTTTGAGTGCATCTATGCTCACAGCTCCTCTGTGGCATCAGATGTCTCCTTTGTGCCTACAGAGTTCCACCACATCTGCCAAGTGGCATATAAGCGTCAGCTGCCACCTGACAGCCAGCACAAAGCAAATGTAGGCACTCCCACATATTCTGCCAGCTGTCTCACACCCTGAGCACCAGGTGCCTTCCCATGGAGCACTTTGCCAGCACAGTTGTTGAATGGAACCACCACGAGCACCTGGCTAGATTGGGGTCTTTGTATGTCACCGTATTCTCTAGCAGCATTAAGTCCACATGGCCTATATGTGTGTGCCTGTGACCAAATACACTAGCAGCAGTTGGATTTGTATGTGCACATCCTATATCCTTATGTGTGTGTATGCATGTGTGTGCACAACCAAATATTTTAGCAGCAGTTTGGTGGGCGGATGGGTGTGACCAAATACTCTAGCAGCAGCTGGGTCTGTATGTTCTATATGGGTGTGTGTGTGTGTGTGTGTGTGTGTGTGTACGCGCGCACACATGCATAGGTGCATGCACACAAGCTTAGGCAGGGAGGGAATGGGGAAGACAAGACAAGACAAGAAAGCTGCATTAAATGATAAGATTGTGAGATTGGAAACGTACCAGGACTCTGCATGAAACAGCTCTTTCTTAATTTAATATCCTTTCCACCTATGCTTGTGACCTCATCATCCGTTTGTTTTTTTAATTTATAATTTAACTTAATTATGCTCCTGTTAAATAGGAGCCACAGCCCTAGTCCTGAATTACAACTCTGTTCTGTATGTACAAGCATAAGACCATATGCACAGTCTAAGATGAACAAGTAATACTGTAAGTCTTAATAATAGTCTTACAACAACCCCTTTGAAGTAAGCACTGTAAGCCATATTAGAGAGGTAAATTAGGACACAAAGATGTTCAAGACTTCCAGCAAACCACACTGTCTATAGTTCGCTGCTGTAACCACTGGACCACCCCTTCCTTGACTAGTTAATAAATGTACTTGTTCTCCAAAGAGAAACTAGTCAAAGTATATGGACTCACCTAAACATCTACTCTATTCTCCCATCACACAAGTCAATACAATAAAATCCTGCCCTGTCCAGTACCCTCAGATACCTGCTAGATTTAAGTATTTAAAAGCATCTATGAAGTGTCTTTGGTAAGCCATTACACCTTCAAACAGTTTTTATCACTTTTGAAATAATATATATTTCCACAAAAAAATTTCCAATCACAGTAGAGAGATGAGCACTTAATTTTTTAATGAGAATTCTATTGCATAACAATTTAACATAGATGATTTTTGTGCCTGAAAGCCTGGTCCAGTAAAAGGTGTCTTTACTGCCACATCAGCCTTGTTTTCTTACCCTAAAGTAGATTTAATTATCCTTTGTATACTAATATCTAATTTATTCTGTGAAAGTTTGTTTAAAGACAGAGAACATTATATAACTCCTCTAGCAAAAAAATGCTCAATCACTGTCATGTTATAGCTACATCACAATGTTCAAGGGTGGTTCAAATCAAGGAATGAGATTTTCAAGGGAGCTATGCTTTCAACAAAAGTTAGTCACCTACATTTTTTCTAGGCAAGAATATTTAATTTCATATGGAATAATGAAACAGAAATGTAACAGAAATTCTCCCCCATCAAGTGGTTAATGTGTTCCTTTTCTAACATCACTGGCCAACTTCCATTTATTACATTCTCTGCACTTCTGGTGATAACCTAGTTTTATTTTTTTCTGTGCATTCTTTAGGATGAAAATAATTAGCAATCAACATTTCTGATCTTTCCCCAAGGATGATGATCATTCAACACTAGCAACTAAATCCATAGTGGGATTTAGTGAGATGTATATATGCTTTCTTCCCACATACATCTATAGATGGTAGACACAAATAAAGTAATTGCAACTGAAAAATTCTCCTGTAGTACAGAATATGCATTTCATGAAAATGGATCAAAAGGACAGCACAGGGGACAAAACTCACATCAGAGGGGTGGGAAAATACAAAGTCTAGGCATTATGTCATCACAGTTTAAATCACTCCCAGAAATAACAAGAAGGAATCTGGAATTTTTAATCAAATCAGACAACACAACTGATGTTTTTGATGAGAGGCTTTATAACAGGCAAGAGAGAAACTACCATTTTCACAAACTGCTTGGCACTAAACGTATGTGAATTTTTCTTTTATTTTCACACACTAAAATATCTGAATAAGACAATGCCACCCAACATATTTTTAACACAATCTCTTAAAAGATAGTATTCCTATGGGATATGCTACTAGAGCAAATAAGTTTCCTGTGCACTGCTTTGTACACTTCAGCTGTTCCTTAGTGCTCCAGCAGCAGAATAAGAGACTCGCATATTTAGTGCATTTTTCACAGCACTAAAATTATGGGTCTGGCAAAGACAACTTCAAAGCACAGCTAACTTTAGTGATTATTTCCTTGGACTCTTTTCCAAGGAATGAAAAAGTTCAGAAACATTACCCTGTATCTAATTAACCATGTGACAGACAGATGGTTACCACCTTTACAAGAACTTTTTTTTTTTTTAAGCTATTAGGTATTGGGAGAAAAATGCCTTTTTTCCCTTATCACATTTTTATTTGTTCTCTTTTATCACCTTTGAAGTATTCAAACTAAGAATATGTGAATGACATTCTACAGGTAAAACAACCTGGCAATTGACACAAAGCCTTTTATGGCATTGGCACAATCACATCTACAACCAAAGAATAGGTGTTAAGCACATTAGTAAAGACTACAAGGGACATGTTTTTTTGAAAGGCTTTTTGTACTAAAGGGCACCTAAAGGAAGTATAGGGACAAGTAGATTTGATCCGTTTTAGTACATCTTCAGATAAACGTCATATTACAGACTTATAGTACCATTCAAATTAATGGTTATTTTCTCTTATAACATGTAGAACTGCACTATTTAAAATATCTGTGTATTGTTTTTTTAATGCTAAGTCCACCTGAATATATTTTTGTGCAGTGCTTCAAAAAGATAATAAAATGAAAAAAGTGAGCTTATTATATTATCATGTCTGAAACATTCTACCTTAATTCACAGCTATGATAGTCAATTAAATAAGATCAGAGGAAAGTTTCTTTCTTTATTTCTTTCTTTCTTTCCGGCTCACCGGCACCGGCATGGTCGACGCCTTGCAACTCTTCCGCCTGCTGGTGCGGGCCCGCCTCTCACTCGAGTTTGAGCACGGTGCCCGCCTTTGAGGAGCGCTGGGCCCTCGAGGGGGCGCTGTGCCGAGTCGAGGCGGGACGCCTGGTCCTCGTACTGTGAGACCACCGGCTGCTCAAGCTGCAGGGACGCCTCAAGCGGGCCGAAACCTTGGACTTTGGTTCATGCGGGGCGACCCCTGAGGCCTCATGGGTGTCCCCCGCTGGCAGAACTGTAAAAAAGTCAATATAGTCCGAATGTTCGTTGTGGGTTTTTTGGTGGGGGGGTGTGTGTGTGTGTGTGTTGTTTTGTTAGTTTAGAGTGTACGGGCAGGCCTTGCAGGCCATGAGCCCAGGCCTTGTCCATAAGGCCCAGATCTTCGGGCGTACCTGTACATGCTCTTTACTGGCTCCGAGTGATCACCCACCCGGGAATAAATGTCTCTTAGAAGTCAAAAGTCTTAAAAGTCAAAAAAAAGTCTTTCTTTCTTTCTTTTTACTTACTATGGCAAATGATTTTAGAAGCCACAAAATGTACAGAATGCTAAATATGGGGGAGGAGGGGACCCTTCTCTCCCCTCCTCCCCCCAGATATTCCACTGAGAACAAATTAATACTTTGGAAACAACAGAGAATAAATATTTTATCTTCAACAGATAGATTAGAAAGAACTTGATCTGCTCCCCCTTTAAAGAGGTGTTAGGAACCAGATGTCAGGCTAGCTAGGAAAGTTTGGGCAGCGACAGCTGTAATGATGCAGTCAGCCCCTTCAAAAAGAGCTCTGAAGCCTCTTTAAGATGCGATGTTGTCCCTGCATACAAAGATGGGTTCCTCAAAAATTCAACTCAGCAGAGGAAAGATTCAGTTTCAAGGAAATAAACAGTGAATAAGGCCACGTGGAATTCTGACCTTTAACGAACACGGGAAACAGCAGAAGATTCCAAACGTAAAATCACTTAAAAAAACAATTCTTTGCTGCAAGGAAAACTGAATCTGGATTTGGATCTTGAGTACTTCCAAAATATCCCTATCTTTGGAATTGAGGCTGATATAGATTCTG